GGGAGGGAGGGAGGGAGGGAGGGAGGGAGAGAGGGAGAGAGAAAGAAAGAAATGGAGACTAGGGCTGGTGAGGGAGCAGCTGTGGGACTGGGAAGAGGGGATGATAGAAGCTGCATGAAGAAGGAAGGAGAGCTGCTGTAGGACGTCCTGGGTGAGGAGGGAGGCTTGAGAGAGCAGCAGGCTGCTGAGGGCCCTGCTGGGGAAGCAGGGTCTTCCCTGAGAGCCCTTAGACGTTTCCTTGACGGGGCTGGAAAGATGACTATGAAAAGCAGGTACTACTGCAGAGGACCCAAGCTGGGTTCCCAGCACCCCATCAGGCTTTTGACAACTGCCTATAGCTCCAACTCCAGGGGATCAGACGCCCTCTTCTGACTCTATGGGTACTGCAGTCACATATACACACCCACACACAGATACACAAGACACATAGTAAAAATTAATTTAAAAAATTTCATCAAAGCACAGTCAGGCTCTTTGTTCACATAGCATTATTCATTGTCAAACATTGTCTGTAACTATCTTACAGCTTCACAGAAGTCTTTGTAGTCAGAGACAGGAAAAGCCCCAAGTGTTTACTCTGTGACCCTTGGGAAGCCATGTGCACGTTGAGCAGTGGTACACATAGCACGGATGAGGATGAGTAGGAGGCTATTGAGTGCTAGGCTGGCCTGGACTGTAGAGTTAGACTAACCCTAAAAAAAAAAGGTAGCCCGCACTTGAGGGGCAGAGGTGAGTGGATCTCTGTGAGTTTGAGACCAGCCTGGTCTACAAAGCAAGTTTCAGGACAACCAGAGCTGTTACACAGAGAAACCCTGTCTGAGGGAGAAGGGGAAGTGAATAAAACAGAATGATGTTTGTTCTCAGACTTAACTAAAACACTGTTGTTTGCCATGTCACAAATACTTAGATTCCTCATTTTTATATGTGATAGAAACAATTTAGAGTACATGGTGCCATTGTCTCTTTGTGGAATTTGTGACTCCAAAGGCAGACAGCTTTTCAGGATAGGTATGGAAAGAAACAGCTTGAGATCTGTAGATGTCTGGGGGTCTAGCATTATTTATTATGTGTATGGGCGTTTGCCTGCATGCATGTCTCTGGGGGCCAGAAGAGGGTGTCAGATGCCCTGGAACTGGAGTTACCATGTGTGTGCTGGGAATTGAATCCAGGTCCTCTAAGCATAGTCAGTGCTCTTAAGCTGCTGAGCTGTCTCTCCAGCCTCAGATTCTAATGCAGTTGTGATTATTTTTTCAATGGATAACTTTTTCTGTACAGTAGTAGTCTTCCCTATAGATCTTAGGTTCCAGAAGTTGAGCCAACTGGGAAATGGGAGTTTTAAGACGAATTGGTTCAATAGTTTTCCTTTTGAATTATAGATTAGAAAAACTTGGTTTTTTGTTTTGTTTTGTTTTGTTTTGTTTTTTTCAGTTAGAGGATATTTTGTGTCACAGTATCACAAGCAAATCACAGCAGTATATTTAGTATAAACATAAATCACCAACACCATCCTTTCATAAGGAATTATCAGGTGTTTTTAGATGAACTTTCAAAGTCTCCTGAATGGCCCATATGCTTCTTTTTGATCTTTCCCTTTGGAGTAGTAAGGTCACTCCTCTTCCCCAGTTTCTATGGCAGCCAGTCAGGAGTCAGTCAGGAGCCTGTGCAGAGGACAGGCTGGTGCTTGTCTTCTCCCCAGAGTGTTGAAAAACGCACCAAACTGTCAGCTGGAGCTGATACATTGCAGACTGCACAGGTGGCCTGGACAGAAGTCCCCTTGACTTGAAGTTTCTCCTGCTAGTCCTGGGGTGATGTCAGAGCATCTCAAACACGGTCAGGTTCCTTTGTTAGAGGCCACGCTTGTGTTGACCCTTCACAGTTCAGGTATTAAGGCTGTGCAGAAAGACAGCCAGCAAAAGTAAAAGTGTTCTGGTAGTTAGTTATCCCATCCAGATTTACAGATACTTAACAGCTGTCAATCTTTAGAAGGCTTAACAGTTTAAGGGACATTTTTCTATGTAGTTCTTCACCTGAAAGACTGGCACAAACCCTTCCTTAGCAGCATTGATATGCAAATTAGCCAAAGCCCTCCAGGTCACCTGTTGACCCCACTGTTCATTTGCAGACTGATCTGTCCCGACCTGGCTGTCTTTGAAGACATTCTTCTGCTCTTAGAGTGTGGATGGGGTTTCAAGACACTGCTGGTCTCCCCACATGCCTGCTCTGTTCTTTCTTAGAATCAAATGGTCCTGGGACTTTCATCTAGGATCGTTTTCCAGATTTCCACATCAGCAGACTAAGAGCCTTCAGCAATGTATCTAGATATAAAATAAAATTATATAGATATAAAATACATTTACATATAGATATAAGATACATTATTTAGCCAGGTGGTGGCAGCACAGACTTTTAATCCCAGCGCTCGGGAGGCTGAGGCAGGTGGATCTCTGAGTTTGAGGCCAGGCTGGTCTACGGAGTAAGTTCCAGGACAGCCAGGGCTACACAGAGAAACACTGTGTGGGGAAGGGGAGGAACCACCCAAATGAACAAACAAAAAACACATTATTTATTTGCATCTACACTAAAACAAGTTAGCCATCTCAACATTGTAAATTTTAAATGGACCATGCCCAAGTGTCTATATACAAAGGTCAGTTCTAAAATTAATTATTTTAATTTTACATTTTTTGTCTACCAAAAGCAGTTCAGAATTTTTCAAGCATTTGATAAAAAGACATTTATCATTAGGTTATCCTAAATTTTGCAATCAAATTTTTTCTCAACCTGAGCTTCCATACTTAGCATTTGAAAATACCAGAGCCAAATCATTTTTAAAATATTTATTTTATTTTTATGTGTGTGTACCTGGGTATACTTATGTGCTCTACATGTGTATAGGAGCCCATGGAGTTTGTGAGCTGCTGCTTGGTGCTGGAAATTGAACTCAGGTCTTCAACAAGTGCCCTAACCACTGAGCCATCTCTCCAGATGGAAATCATTTTAAGGAGTAAACTTAAAATTAGCATTTCAATTAATATTTTAAATAACCCTGCCAGAGGTAAAGTCCAGAAACTAGTCTCTTTTTAAAAATAAATTTTCTGAATTTCTTAGGTTTTTAGCTTTATGAAAATGACCCTCAACCCATTCAGACACTCACACATTTTTTTAAAGCCATGCCAGTCATAATTGTCAGTTCGCAGTAAGTTAATAGGAAGTGCAAGCCTGAACTTTCTCTCCAGGGACAGAGATTGGGTTTTGTCCTGGTATGTCTTAGAAGTCTTCCCGAGTTTATAAAAGACTAGTAAGCTGCAATTCTCCCTGGTGGTTACCAAGTAATGAAAGCCTCATCTCTGTATTTTAACTGGTTAATGTAAAGAGATACAGTTAGAGCAAAAATAAAACAATGTGCTGGCATTTATCTTTTTTCTCCCCAGTTACCCTTCCTGTACATCAGTCCTACCTAGAACTGCTTGATTTCCCATATTGGAAGTGTCTTCATGCCCATGGATGTCCCCACTCCATACTGGGGGGTTCTCAGTACCACACACCCCAGAGGTTTCCTGATTGCTGAGCTTCAAGGTTCCCTTAAAGAGAGCACTCCATTTCCCTGCCTCAGTTTTGCCTGCCTTTCAGATTACCTCAGGGTGTTTATGAAGTATGAGAAAAGGCGAAGCTCGTCATTGATTGATCTGTCCAAACAACGGGCAGGATACATCTCTTCCATTTTCTGGAGATTTAAGAGCCTTCCCAAACACAGAAATCCCAGACAAGCCCCCAAATTGTTGGCAATAGATAACACATTCTGTTCTCATCTTCCATAGGCTGGGACTTGCTGACTTCCCATTCTCCATCTCATTGGTTTAGGACACACAGTCTTACCTAATGAATAATTTGGAGCTTGAGACTTGCCCATGTTTTGTGATCATGGGCTTGGTCACATATATATCTGCATAGAACTTTGAGAGTTCTGAGACAAGCAGGTACCTACTGCCAGCTAAGGAAGAGAGGGACCTAGCTCTCCTGCTTATCTGTAACTTTGATAAAACTTTACTTCATATTGAAAATGCATCATAACAGACAGATGTAGTGGCACATACCTTTAAACCCAGCACTCGGGAGGCAGAATCAGGGAGATCTCTGTGAGTTCGAAGCCAGCATGGTCTACAGAGAGAATTCCAGGATAGTCAGAGCTATATAGTGAGACCCTGTCTCAAAAAGGGGAGAAAAAAAGAAAATGGACCATAGCAATCCATTACAAACCTATCTGGGCATATTTGTGTGAGTTTTGCATATTAGAAAGGAACTGGAAGGTCTGGTGTGGATCTCGGGGGTAGACCACGTGCACTGGTGTGAATGGAGCCTTGAGTTCAATCCTGTCTCAGTCAGGGTTACTGTTGCTGTGATAAAACACCATGACCACAGCAACCTGGAGAGGAGAGAGTTGGCTTGCACACTCTGAGTCATTGTCTACCGAGTGAAGCCAAGGCGGAACTCAGACTGGGCATATACCTGGAGGCAGGAGCTGATGCAGAGGCCATGGGGGGGTGCTCTTTATTGGCTTGATTATCTGGGGGTTTGTTTGTTTGTTTTGTTGGTTTTTCGAGACAGGATTTCTCTGTGCAACAGCTGTGGCTGTCCTGGAGCTCGCTCTGTAGACCAGGCTGGCCTCAAACTCACAGAGATCTTCCTGCCTCTGCCTCCCGAGTGCTGGGATTAAAAGGGTACGCCACCACCACCCGGCTGCCATCCTGTTTTTTCTTGTAGAACACACGATCATTAGCCCAAGGGTGCCCGCCCCCCAGCCCCATGTCAGTCATTAAGAAATTGTCCTACAGGTAGGTCTGCCCATAGGCAGGTATTAAGGTGGCAGTTTCTCACTTGAGGCTTCCTCCTCTCAGATACTTTAGCTTGTGTCAGGTTGACCTAACCACCCACCCCACACACCGCACCTCCCCCACACACCCCCCAACAATCCCCAGTACCCAAGAAAACGGTTCAGTTTTACATTGTTGCACTGAACCACAGAGTCTGGGTGGTGTTTGACCCGGAAGAACACTGCTCAGAAACTGAAGACAAAGCCTTTTATAATCTTTCTGCTGGTTCTTGGGCTGTTAGCACAGTGATTGGTTGTCCAGTTTATTTAATCTGGATTCTAGTCTTCCTAATCACGAGCTTGGGAGGAATTACTAAATGTTTCTGTGTCTGAGGTGCCAAACTCGGCTGTTGTCCTGTGTGTAGATTGCTGAGAGATTCAAGAATACATATGTGCAGAAGTCTTCCTGAAGCTGAGCATTGTGCACATATATATGACTCACTCTTCTCTTTCTCCTGTAGAAATTTAAGATCCGAATTGAAGATCCACCACGCAGAAAGCACATGGTATTCTTGGGTGGCGCAGTCCTAGCAGACATCATGAAAGACAAAGACAACTTTTGGATGACCCGACAAGAGTACCAAGAAAAGGGTGTACGTGTGCTGGAGAAACTCGGTGTGACTGTTCGATAAAGTGCCAGGCTTGTTCCCATCATGCCTCTAATGCATTCTTCTTTTTCTCTTTTGTTAAAATTTTTTCTTTATTGCCAATCTTTGAACTCATTCGACTCCAGGACTGAAAGAGGCCTCTCTGTCCCCTTTGACTGGAAAGGTCAAGTTTTATTCTGTCTTGGGGAAGCGTTGTTAAATTCTTGTTAATGTGGGTAAATGTGGTTGTTTAATGCAGCCACTTCTCTGCAGACAAGGAGGGCAAAGGGTCTCTGCTGCTTTCTTTCTTTCTTTCTAAGTAGGCATTTAGATCATTCCTGGAGGCTTTCTATTTTTGCTTTATTGCTCTAACACTGCTAGTTTTAGTTTTAGCACTGTAGGTGGTATGTCTTCATTAGCATAAGAAAAAACTTTCACATGAGCTTTTACATATTCTGGGTGGGGGTGGTAAGGGATGGGTGGGCAGCCCTGAGCCCTTTAGGGCTTTTCCTCTGTAGTGGTGGCTTTCAGCAGTCAGCCACTGCCACTCTTATGTACCCTGAAGCTTGTCCTGTTAACATCTTCGGGAAACAGTAAGCTCAGAACTAAGGTGTTTGGGGTAGGCTCTGTGTGGTGGAACAAATGGGTGGTCTTTCTGTTGTGGATTTTGAGGGTTTTCTGCTTCTGGGTAGGCGTGATGAACCTCAGTTACAGTACTCTTGACTTGGTAGGTTTCTTCTTCTGGTCTGCCTGAACTGTTTCCATAGGATAGGAAAAAAGCAAGCTTAGTATTTCATTACCATGAGGCTTTGGAATTAGTTACTTATGTCAGCCTATCATCACCTGGGAGTATATTTCCTAAACTATCAGTGAGAAAGTAACATTGTAAACAACATGCCTTTGTTAAGTCAAACGACACATAGAAAACTACTTAAGAGCTGGTGTTTTCTAAATGCTGTTGTTTATTCTGGAAGTGTTGAGGAAATGAGGCTAAGTACCATTCTTGAGAGTTGTACTTTTATGTACCTGGTCAGTGCTTCTGACAGCTCTGCACAGAATTGATTACTGGTGGTTGTTGTATTAACAGTAACAACGGGATTGGTTGCCAGTAGTTTCTGTTTTGTTTTGTTTTTTTTAATGAGACCTGGAACTAAAATTTTAGCAGCAACAATAGAAAATTTACCAGGAGTCAGCTCTCTTTGTACTGAAGACTAGCCATGACCGCCAGCCACTTCCCAGCTATCTTTTGTTCTTGAGGAAGAGTGGTTGGGATTTTGGATATGTTTGCAGACCTGTCAGAAAATCCTGTTTACGAGTCCTGTTGGTATTTTTGTTATCTCAAGAAATAACAGATAGTACCTAGATGTGAGGTCTTTCTAACATTAAAAATGAAATGGCGAGCTGTTGCATTACACTCAATACAAAATGATGATTCTGGGAGAAATAGTTTCCTTCATTTCAAAATATTCGTTACTAATAATGATGGATTTGAAAAAATGGCTTTTCCCCCTTTTTCTTTCCTTTTTGGATGCTTAAAATCGGAATTTTTAGTGGATTTTTTGAGATAACTTTACAATTAGTTTATAAAATCAGCAAAAGGAAGTTAGTCTTAATTATGCAGCTTCTGTGATATTAAGTATTTTTTGCCTGTTTTACCTCAATTTGAACAAATAGGAGAAGTCTGTGTGCATGCTGGACATGCTCTGTACACACAACAGCCCACCAGTGCCGGCTGGTCGGTGTTGGGTGCATGACTCAGAGTCACTTTGGAATTTCTAAGCGTTCCTAAATCATGTCGTCAGTTCCCCAGTCTTGGGAGTCCTGGGCCCATTGCAGGACACCTGCTGTATACAGGACTGGTACAATGACTATTGAGTACAGAAAAGTGATCGACTCTTGGCTTTGAGCATGATTTTAAATATAGGGGTAGAAAACAGGGAAGAGTAGAGTGGAGTCCTAAATAAAACAGTGGAAGAGCAGTATCATTTGTACCTTGAATGTAGAATTTGTTTTTATTTCATAATTCTGCTAGCAAACATGACTGTTAAAAATGATGTATTTATATATGTAATAATTTAGAAATTCCATTTTATAGTTTTCCTATTCTAAGGTGAAATAATGAATTTAATAATTTGGGAGTTGGAACATACTGTATTCTGTTGGAGGTGTCAGGTTTGAGTCCTTCAAAAATTAAAAAAAATCTGTTTTTTAAAAGATCTGATTTTTAGCTCTTGAAACCCATTGTCACTTAGATTTCCAATGCTAATTAAATTTCTTTTTTTATTTTTAAATTAAAATCACCAATGCCTTGAGAGATTTCTTAGAAAATATGGTATTGGATGTTAACTTTCACAGTTCTGAGCACTGTTAGTATCTATCTGGCAAGTATTTGAGAGATCAATGGAAAGTTAAATATTCTAAATTTAACACAAATATACTTCTTTTTGATTAAGAAAATAAAATCAGATTTTTCAAAGTAATTTGAATTTTGTCTTTGTTTTTCCTTTTAATAGTTTTTCTCTTTAATTTTATTACTTTTATTTGTACTTTCAGTTTTGCTGTGCAAGATGGGTTTAGAACTTTAAATCCAAGTTAGTCCAGGGTCATTCATTGTTCCCATCCATTGCTGTTTGTTTGTTTGTTTGTTTTATCTTATTTGAGGTGGAGGGTTGAGGTGGGTGTTACAGCCCAGGCAGATCTGGAACTAGCGTGTAGCCAAGGAAGACTTGAACTCTTGATTCTCCTGCCTCTTCAAGTGCTGGGATTATAGGTGTGCACCCTGATGCCCAGCTCTGGTTCAGTTTTGATTGACAAAACTCATTATTTCTAGTGAGGTTTTTTTGTTTTGTTTTTTAACTTATTACTGATTTGTTTATTTGTTTATTTATTGTGAGGCCAGGTTTCTGTGTAGTCCTGGCTGCCCTAGAACTGGCTGTGTAGACCAGGCTGGCCTCACTCAGAGATCCGCCTGCCTCTGCCTCTGGAGTACTGGGATTCAAGGTATATACCATCACTCCCAGCCCTTCTAGTAGGGTTTTTAGATAAAAGAAAATGAATTAGAGCTACATTAGAATTTGTTCTGTTTTGTTTTCTTCTAAGAAATTGTTTATTTCCCAAGAGATTGCAGGGTGCTTTTGCAGAATCAATTCTAGATAGACTCATATGTAACATAATTCTGTATGGACATTGTGGCTGATCTATGTGAAGATTTTTAGGCATCTATTTTGTTTTTAATTTTTTCCTTTATTTTCATCTTACATGTATGGGTATTTTGCCTGTGTGTATGTGTGTACACCATGTGTGTATGGTACCCTTGGAGGACAGAAGAGGGCATTAGATCTCCCTGGAACTAGAGTTATAAGTCGTTAATGAGCCACCATGTAGGTGCTAGGAATCCAGCCTTGATCATCTAAAAGAGCAGTCAGTGCTCCTGGCCACTGAATTATCTCTCTTGAACAGGTACATTGTTTTTGACAAAGTAATTAAAGCAGGAAGAAAACTAATAAGTGATCTTTTCTTGAGTTTACGTTGGCCTTAAGCATGAGGGCTAGGGAATTGGTATCAGTGTTTTTGTTCCTCTTATAAACTGTATGTTTAAGATTCTTTGTCCTTTCATGGCCAAGGCCTGAGGGTTGTGTCTGGTGCCTTATCCTGTCTTGAGTTGCCAGAATAATGTGGTATCTATTGTCCTTAGCAAAAGAATATTCCTATCATTTTGTGGTGTTGATATTGATGGAGTGAATATCTTTGTACTCCTCATTTTTTTTCTCCACCCATAAAAATTCAGTTTATTAACTGTTGCTAATTTTAATTAATTTATTTTTAAGACAAGGTCTCTGTTTTAGTGTTCTATTGCTATGAAGAGACACCATGACCAAGGCAACTTTTATTAAAGAAAGCATTTAATTGGGAGCTTGTGTATACTTCCAAAGGGTTATAGTCCATGATGATCATGGCAGGGAGCATGGCAGCAGGCAGACATGGAGCTGAAAGCTTATATCTTGTTCCATAGACAGGCAAAGAAAAATAGCCTGACCTGGGCTTTTGAAACCTCAAAGCCCATCCCAAGTGACACACCTCCAACAAGGCCACACCTCCTAATCCTTCCCAAACAATACCACTAATTGGGGACCAAGCATTCAAATATATGAGTCTATGAGGCCCATTCTCACTCAGATAATCACATTCTACTCCCTGCTCCCATAGGCTTGTGGCTATGTCATAATGCAAAATTCACTTAGTCCAGCTTAAACAGTCAACACTGTTTGAAAGTCCAGTCTCTTCTGAGACTCAAGGCAATCTTCTAATTGTAATCCCCTATAAAATGAAAATAAAAAAGCAGATCACATACTTGCAACATATGATGGCACAGAATATACATTACCATTCCATGGGGCATAGTGAGGAAATACTGGACCAAAGCAAGAATAAAACCCAATCAAGAAACTCTAAATCTTCAACCCCATGTCTGATGTTACAGGCTTCTAGATGGCTCTTCCCTTACAGCTTTGCTGACTGCAGCACACTTCTCTTTCTCGGGCTGGTTCCATACCCTGTCTGCAGCTCTCCTTCACAGGGATCCCACAGCTCTAGCATCTCCAACATCCTGGGGTCTTCAACACAATCCAGGCTTCATCTTCAATCATTGTCCCCTCTGGGCCTCCATGCCATGACTCCCTTGCCACATACCTGGCTTCATTCAGTAGCTTTCAACCACAGAGGAGAAGACTCTACAACTTTCCATCTGTTCTTAAATCCAGAACTGCTGGCCAAAGCTGCCAAGTTTTGCTGTCTGCCAGAGCTGGAACACAGTGCCCCCCCAAAAAAAAATTTACATTTGCATAAGCTTCCACTTGTTGATGGTTTCCTTTGCTGCATGAGCTTTACCCCTTCCAAGCTGGAAGCTTGGCTGGGTGGGTGTTAGCATCAGGCTTGTCTTTCAGCTTCCATGTCCTTGAGCAAAGGACTTGGCTCCAACATTACAGTATTCCTGCTTTTTTTCTCCTCAAACTCCGTGTTTTGTATTTCTCTTTGGCCTGCCAGCTCTTTTTCACTGTGGCTCTACATAAGAGTGAGCACCAGCTGGGGGGCAGTGGCGCACGCCTTTAATCCCAGCACTCGGGAGGCAGAGCCAGTCGGATCTCTGTGAGTTCGAGGCCAGCCTGGGCTACAGAGCGAGATCCAGGTCAGGCTCCAAAGCTACACAGAGAAACCCTGTCTCAGAAAACCAAAACAAACCAGAAAAGCACACTAGAACCACACGGCACAGTCAGCACTGGGCTGTCTTGAAACCTCTCCCGACAAAGACATTAATCTAAAACTTGCCGGTTTAGCCTCAGGCAGATTCTTAGGACAAGGGCAGATGTAGCTACACTCTTCCTAATATGTCACAAGAATGGTTGGCAGCCCAGCTAATATTTATATTGTTTCCCCCTGAAACCTCTTGAGCTGGGCCTACGTAATTCAACTTTCCCTTGGCAGTACTGTTATTCTAGTTCTGACTAGGATGACCTTTTAAGCTCCACTTACAGCGGTCAACCACTTCTCTGGTCCAGAGTCCCAGAGTCCTCCATATTCCTCCGACAACAGTGTGGCCAGCCCTGTCACAGCGATAGGCCTGATCTAGACGATCTCAAACTCACTGTGTAGTTGAGGATAACCTTGAACTTCTGATCTTGCTTTCATTCCCCTAGTGCTGGGATCATAGGCAAGTGCCGCTATGCCTAATTATTTTATGCAGTGCTAAGGGATTGAGTCTAGGGCTTGGTGCATGCTAGGCAAGCACTCTACCAACTGTCCCCTGCCCAGTCCTCTGAGGCTCCCATAATGGCTGTTTGCAGGTTCTTGGTGTCCTACTCAAAGGGTTGATGTCAGTGCTCACAGATTTGTAGTGTATCCAGGAAACTTCAGGTCAGAATGTGCTGCAGAAGAGCAGGAGGGCACATGCATGAGAAAGTACTTTGCTCCCCCACCCCCCCAAAGTGTTTGGGGCTTCCACGGGTTTATTTGCTGTTTGTTTTACTTTTTTCAAGACAGGGTTTCTCTGTGTGCCCACTGACTGTCATGAAACTTGCTCTGTAGACCAGGCTGGCCTCAAACTCAGAGACCTGTCTGCCTCCGCCTTCCCAGTACTGGGGTGAGAGGGGTGCACTACCACCCCAGGCCTGGTGTCTTAGGGTTTCCGTTGTTGTGAAGAGACACCATGACAGTCACATGGCAACTTTTTGGTTTGGTTTGGTTTTCCAAACAGAGTTTCTCGATCTGACAGTCCTGGCTGTCCTGGAACTCACTCTGTAGACCAGGCTGGCCTCAAACTCACAGAGATCCACCTGCCTCTGCCTCCCGAGTGCTGGGATTAAAGGTGTGTGCCTCTGCCACCCCATATTTTACCTCTTTTTAAGAATATGCTTTGAAGTCATAATTTGCTATTTAAAATAAACTTTTAAAAATGTCTTGATTTATTCTTTGAGAAT